CCAAACAAAAAAAGTAAACTTGTATGTGTAAACTGAATGAAACGACTAAATCTGAAGCATGAATATGGAGAATGTTGTTTTGTTTTTGTCAGACTGTGAATAAAACACAAATGCGGTTGAATCGCTGACGTGTTCGGACATAAGCATCGCACAAACAGTGACACCCGCTCGGATCTCTCGCTGTATGTGGCCTGGTGCCTGTGAGGTAGACTCCTGCTGAACAAGCCGTTGTGTCGTCTCTCAGCGTCGACCAGAGGCTCCAAAAAAAACCAGCTGTAAATGACCCCTGAGCGGTTACTTCCTACTCCTGAGCTTCAAAGCTGCACTTTCACACGTCACTTCAAAGAGACCAAACCAGAACCACCGCAGGAGCCATTAAGTGGCTGCAGTCAGAGCTTCAATCTAATGAAGAGAAGAATGTCATCAGTGTACAGGGGAAATGACATATAATCACTTGGGCTTTGTTATCCTGTCAACTGTCATTACTTCTTCAAAGTCAGGCTAAAAGTATCGTCTATATCGATGCCTGGTGGCCATAGATTAGATGGTCTGCACTACTGTCAAACGGTGATGCAACCTCAAAGTATACTCACATCCCAACATTTATATATGGATTTCATTTAGACACTTGAAACGGTGCAGATCACGTCAGCAGGTCTGAGACTTTGACGGAAGTTTGCCGAGCACAGTTTCATCGGAGCTGAATCCTTTCAAACTGTTTTTAAATCGGGAAAAAAAAGTCTGTGTGAGAGTGAATCGTTGTTCAGGTGATGGTTGAATCTGTGCATGGAAGTCTGCTGAAATGTTATTTTTCTAATGTCAAAAAATCATCCCTCTGCAGCATGCACCGTCATTACACATGTGCGTCTATGACATAATATTTCTGCAACAGTGCAGCAGCAGGTTTAATCTAATCCATGACTCATCACGTCAGCATCAGTCTGTTGTTCGCCCCAAATATCCTCCATCGTTTCCCTCAGGGCCTCATCGTTATTCAGTAAAAACAAAACGTTAGGTATAAAGTTCTTTTTGCTCGTCAGAGGAAAACAAAGAAAAACCCTAAATGTCTCCACACAACCATCTCTCTTTGTTATTCGTCCACAGCACAATGCAGCGGGGGTCTGGTAGGTTTCAGCCCTGCTTAAGGCATTAGCTCGGAGAGATAATCCCAGCAGCCAAACACTCGCTCACCAGCAGCACGCATCCTCATACAATCACTGCATTGGACACGTGTCTGGTATCTGTCCTGCTTTACTTCCTCTGATCAGGCTCGTCCTCTCCGTGGCCCAGAGGGACACTGACCTCTGCTTCGGCTCTGAAATGTGACACTGACCCCTCTGGTCGGAGTAATTCTGACGAGCTACTGCTGTTTGTTGTATCGTGGCGGTGCGCCGACGTTTGATTGGATGTTTGATTTATTAGTGTCTCTTGACCTCTGACCTCCCAGGTCAGATAAATTGAACATATCAACTTTGAACCATTGAAAGTGTATTCAACTTAAATATACAAATTTAATAAGTTCAAAACTCTTCACAAAGCTCATGATAAGTGAAATCAAACCCAAATACAATCATTTAACTCTAAATTATAGTTTGAGTGCTTAACGCAGTAAAATACTTCAGCTTCATCGTGGATCTTGTTCCCACCACTGGGGCCGACGTGCTCGTCATGGGGTCCCAGCAGACACGGAGCTCAACTCTGAATTCAAATGTATCCGTGCGTCGCCAGGTGCTTCTTTAAGTTTTTCGAGTTCTCTTTACACAGAATTGATTTCAGACATTTGCCGCAGGTCTGATTGTCTGAATGTTTTTCCAGGATGTCAGTGAATACTTGTGACTTGATGAGAAATGTGCCACCAGGGATGATTCTGTGCCGTCGTTTTCAAAGTCGACACAGACTCATAACTTACATCCGTCCTGATGAGAGAACTTCACAGGAGGAAGAGCTGATAAAAAAATACTTCACCGGGGACGTTTCCGTTCTGTCCCTCTTGTTTTGATGTGCAGTTTGATCATGTATGATCCACTTGATGCTCAGAATGTGTCGCGTGAAGCATCATCTCTCAGACTTGACAGCTGGCTTCTCTCGGCCCGTGAAATGACAATCTCTCCGATTTGTGCCTCGATTGAGGAAAAAGAATAGAAAGTGAGTATTTTGATGTCAGATCAGAGATGATCGCTGATGCTCGGAGAATCGTTCTTCTTCAGCAGCTGGGATCCAGAACGGTGATGATCACTCTGGCAAACACAGGAGGAGAAATCCGCCAAGTAATTTACGACGTGTGCCGAGGTGTCCGCACTTCAACTTTCAGCTGAAAGTTGTGATTGATTTTTCTAAAACATTAGCGATTGCCGGACCCGTTGTTTTCTTTATTTGCTGAGAATAAAATTATACTTGGATGGTAGTTTTTCTTGACAGATGCTGGAATGGTCCTTTTTTATTTACTCGTTTGCGAAGCGATAGATCACAACACATGTCATAAACTCTCAGGTTTATGCTGCTCTGATTAAAAACCTCCCATGATGCTCGTAAAACATCTCAACACAAATATATATATTTAAGCTCGACAGGAACATCCAGTGGTGCCGCTCAGATTCTCTGCTTAACCAACAACAATGAATTGCCGCCCTGGGATCAGTGAAATGGCACAAAAGATCATTTCATTAATTCTCATAAAGCCATCGTGTCTGGAACTGAAACCTATCAAACAGTAGAGATCAGTGTCCGTCAGTAGCTTCTCTCTCTGGGGAACACATCACGTCTCTCACGCACTGCTGGAAAGTCAATCTAACGTTATAACGTTTGGTATTAACAAGTATTAAATCTGCTTTTCTCTGATTCTGTTCCTTGTTTTGATTTTTAGCAGGATCACAGAGAAATACTGCAGAGTTAAATCATGTCCACTGAGCTGAAGAACAAACTGAACTCTGGTGCAGATGCAGGATTTGTATTTATTTAATTTAACTTGTTTTATGACATATCGACCAGAGACCACTCTTTTTTTTTTTTTTACTTGCATAGAAGAAGTAGAACTCGTGTTGGTGGTGGAGGTATGTGCTCCACTTGGTTCCTTCAATATTTGACTTTAGCAGCCTTCAGTTAAAGAGGCTGCTTGATTCAAAGTGTCTGAAGCTGTTGTACAACTGATCAAAATGTGGAGAGTCAATAGAAAACTCAGGTCGGACGGTGCTGCAGCAACATCAGTGCAGCTGTTCCAGAGTTTCCAGCAAAAAAATTAGAGAAGCAACCGAGTGGTGAATATTACAAATGTGGAATAAATCAAACGATGAAGATTTCAACTTCTTATAAGCAAACCTGTTTTATCTTATCTAGAATCCCTCTCTTCCTCTTCCTCCACTCTCCTCTCTGTTAGTTTCGGTGTCAGGCCATTCACAGGTGTTGTCAGACCCTGGTTGTCTCCGGACCACCAGGCTTCCTCTGACAAGGCGAGCGGCGGTGACGGCCGTGAGACAAATGACCTGTTAACGATCTCTGTCTCTCTGCGTATCCTCCTCCGTGTCTGTCTGTCTTATCGTGTCGCACGGTGATCGAGTGGACGTATCGATCACCCTGGACGAGAATATGCATTTAACTTTGATTTAAAGAACCAAATTACCTTAAAATGGATTAAACCTTTATTCTGCTGCATAGTAAAATGACTCTGACACGTTTCCTGGAGTGTTAATTGCGTCGCAGATCAATGCCGGAGACGTTTTAGCCTGAAGCCCGGCACACATTGACATTTTAAGACACTGGCATTTCAGGACATTCTCTGCTTCAGATCTCACTGCTGGGGTTTTTTTTTAGTATTACAGAAGTTCCCAAACTTTTCTTTGGAAGAAATAAGTGAATTAAATCACATGATGCATGTAAATAAGTGCAATTATACAAGAACATAAACATCACAGATGTTTCACATTAGTTTCTTAAACTCGTTTTTGCAGAGAAAAGACGACACAACGTCTCTGCTGCCATTTTTAGAGATAAGATAAAATCATTTATTTGTTGTGTATAACATATTCTTTACTTTTTTTAACCTGTGTGCTGCTACTGTCTTTTTATTAATTGTTTTCATTTCCTGTAATGCTGCTGGAATTTAAATGTTTCCTGAAGGAGTTTTCCCAAAGGGATCAATACAGTTCTATCCAATCTAATCGAATCGAATCTATAGAATACATCTTAAACCACAAGACAGTATTTCGTTGTTAAATGTTTTGCAGTGATATTGATGTTTTGACAGCAAATCGTCTTAAGACAAGGACATACAAATATTTCTTGCATTGAATTTCCTTTTGTCTGAAAGTCTTTACAAACACATTTAATTTATTCTGGTTCACTCACGTCCGTCCACCCACAGGGTCAAAATCTCTTGTCACTGATGCGTCAGACCAGTGAATGGCGTCTGTGGGTTAATGGACGTTGTCTTTGTTGATTCACACAGAATCCATTTTAACCACATAACCTGAACTACCCGACCCAGACGCATGTTTTATTATTTCAATAATCAGCGAGAACAATGATGACATTAGTCATAAAAGCCTTAATCTCTTTGTGTATATTCTTTTCAATGTAGTTATTCAGTCAACAAGCCAAACTAAGAGCTCTGTCCACAATGATTCCAAACAGAATCTGCTTCTTTGTGGGGTTTTGTTCACTGGCCTGTTAAAAAACAACTTTTGACTTCAGCCAACGTTTAGTTTCTATTTTATAAAGCTTTTCATTTAGATGTTCTTGTCTTTAAATAGAAAAAGTTTTGAATACTCTATTGAACATCGTCGTCTGGCTTCTATCTAGTTAAAAGTTTAATGGATTAGATGGATCCACCTCATCACACCAAAAACACCAAACTTTCATAAATAACAGAAACTGTAAGTCTACAGCGAACAAAATCCTGAGATGACATATATACATTTCTACATATATATAAAATGAATATACTGTTTGTGTTTCTTTGTTTTATCCATTACAACTAATCTGTGTTTTCTCTTTTTGTGTTTCAGTGAAGAAAGCCAAACTACATGGGCCTCCAGGTGAGAGCTTGAATCACATCATATATCACATGTTGTATCACATCATATATCATATCACCATGATTTGACCGTGGGGAGCTGTAGTCACGACAATAATGAGGATTTGCAGCTTTGTGAATGATGATGACTGTGCTGCAGATGGTTAGATTGATTTCTATCTGTGAGACAGATGTTATTGATGGATGTTGTTGAATGAGTTTCCATCGAACATGAGCTTTTCTTTCTCTAAATAATCAGATCTGTGTACTTTATTTTAAAAAAAACACTACACAATACTTTACAAGACATCCTTGACGATGGCAGCTGTAACGTCTGTCTCAGATTAGTGTCTAACGGATACGGACAAAACAGAGGAAACAGAGCAGTACCACTGGAAATCGTGAGGGGGCAGTGTAGCCAGTAGTTCAAGCGAGACGAGGAGGAAGCATCAACGATGGTGGAACTTTCTGAGAAGAGACTCAGCGAGTTGTTGACCCAGGCATCAGTGACGATCACATCGTCTGAAACATCTTCGTACGTGAAGGAACGTGAGTCTTCAGTCTAGTTTTTAAAACTTCGTCGACACTTAAAAGTTGAGATCCCACACCCAGTGCTGCCGTACGATAATGTGACGTTGTTCTGATGGGGAAAGAATTCATTCGGCCGTCGCTCTCTGTCAGCCCACTTGGATTTGCAAATGATGAATATTGACTCAGAGGCAGGAGCTGAGTGGAAGCACACGTCCAACCGACTGTTGGTTATCTGGATTAGTTTCTCTCACAGATGTTTTGTCATCTAGGATTCAAGCTTCACTGCCCAGATGTTGATTTTCATATCATAAAGCTTCCGCTATTCTTAAAAGCCAAACCTCGGAAATTAAGATTTTTCAAACCCTTTTCATCAGTGAAGCACAAATTCTGCAGCCAGTGAAAGTGGGACTCCGCCTCAGCCTCCACCGTCCTCTATTCCTGTCTTTTTTCCCTTTGTGCCTCTTTGCCGGCTGCTGCTGTTTGTCCCTCCATCCTCTCTCCAGGCGGTGATGAGGGGTGAACAACAGCGACAAGTGGGAGAATGAGAAATCAAGCCAGAGGAGGACAGAAGCAAATCAATAGATCATCATAGACAAAAGGGCCACCTGCTAGCCTGAAATGACAACGTGTCATCCCCGGCATAAAGGGAAGATGGAGACAAATCCCTCGCTGTCTTTAGGAGACAGAGACAGACGCCAGATACAGAAGATGATTTGTCATTGGCCGCCTCCGGCCTCCGATCGCAGAGCAGATTTCCAGAGCGGAAGCATATTTTGATTGGCCCTCCCAGGGTTCATAAAGCGGGACATGACTGATGGTGTTGCTGCCGTACATCCACAGCTGAGACGGATCCTTTCGACTCATTTACTCTGTAGTTGTTTGGAATTACCGCTGCGGTCTGAAAGTCGTACACTACAACTAATGTTATTACAGATCTAATTACGCAGTCGACTGAAAGGAAACTTCAGCAGACCTTTCTTGTATCTCTCCGGAGGAGTAATAGTAGTTTAGAAACTCAGTGGAGCTCCGTCCTTCAACTGAACAATTAGACTTTTATGTTATAAAACAAGATCCAACATCCTGGAGGTGGTTTGTACACGTACACATCTTAGTCATGGAGTCAACCCTCGTGTTCTTTGAGGGACCAGTGAAGCGCTTCAATCAGGGATACGTGTTAACGCTGGTCAAGGAAGAATGATACGTTTTGATGCATATAATTGACTTTATAGAAATCTAACGTGATTAGTTTTCTGGTGCTGGTTGTGGATTGAGGAACTTTGTGGGGTTATTTGTGGAGGTAGACCTGCCTCAGTGCTGGATTACATTTATTTCCTCTTGTTGAAAAATGTCCTGACACGTTCACAAAGAAAGGAATATTAAGTTTGTGTCTGTAAATTCTCTTTTTTTTTTTTTCTATTTTCGAATTTGACCTAAAACAGAACTCCTTATTTCCTCCTCGGGGCTGTAACACCCAGCCATGCCGGCGATGGCGAGTATACCCAGGATGGCGTTCTGTCACGTGACATGATTATTAGTCTGAGGTCAGAAACAACTAGTGGAGTTTGTCCCACTTTGGGAAACATGATCTGATTTGTCCTAATATGAAGAAGCAATAGATTCGTTGCCTCGGGGAGTCAGCTGCTGTGTCTCCTCAAACCCCAGCGGTGGACGACCCCTGAGAGACGTTTCCCTTAAATGTGTCACTTTATTAGTTTGACAGACTTAAGGCACATTATCCTGTTTTTAGCTGTGACGTCAGTGCGGCTTCAGAGAAGATGACGTGAGGTTGTTTGTTGGTCTGATCTCATCCAACTGTACCTGCAGAATATCTGGTGTCATTTATCTTTGGTCGGATGTTCACGCGAGAGATGATCAGTCCAAAGTGATGCTCGAGGCTCATTTGATGATGACAGTTCATCCCGGTCCTCTGGTTTAAAGGATCCAAATCAGTGATATCAGTCTTTGGCTTGTGGGTCATGACACCACCTGCTGAACTTTCAGAATCTCTGGATTCGAGGTTTGAGAGGAGGGTTTTCAATCAGAAGGAAAATCTGAGCAGGAAGTGAGACTTAGACACACAAAGGACGAGGCAGCAGAAAGGAGACGTGGGTTATTAACAGCGGGGGTGCCGGGGAAGATTCGAGGGATTTATTTATTTAATATTTTGGCTCATTGTCCTTTTTTTTCCTTTCAGTTTGAGTGAAGTGAAACATACTTGGGCTGCACTCGTTAAAATAAATCATTAACCTCGAACAACAGTTCTGTCTTCAGGTGTGTTTCAACAGGGGATTATGGGAACGTTTTGTCATTTCCGACTCGCAGCTCATCAGCAGCTCTGGTTATCTTGCTGCCTAATGAATGCACAGGAATCCCTGACAATAATGAAGCGGTGGCGTTGGTGTAATGAGCCTCGGCCTCAACTGTTGTTCCGTCAGAACAGTTGCAGACTCTGACAATTCCTCCTCAACACACTGTAAACAACGTTTCACCGAGTGACTGTTTTAAAAAGTGAAATGACAGTTTTTCTTTCCGCTCAACTGTCGTCAGTTATTTCCGAGGTGAGACTCTGCATTGTTCCGGTGCAACATCCTAATTTAATAGACTATTTATTTTCAGAAGAGGCTCACGTTAAATAAAAGGCTGTGATGTGGCAGTGGAGCGGGAGCCGGGAGTTTCTGTTTGACTCGGTGCTGAAACAGAACGAACCACTATCTGCACATGAAGATGGACGACGTGTCTCCACTTCCTCCCGCTGTCCAGAAACGAAACCAAGACATCCTGGATATGAACGCAGCCGAAGGGGTGGAGCCACAGTGTCATGGTGCTGCCGATACACACTGGACTAATCGAGTGTCGCTCTCAGCTGTCAATCATCATGTGCATTTTGACGGAGGAGGAAGGATCGATGTTCTGCAGTCAGCCAACAGGTGGCGATGAAGATGATTTGGCTTCTGTCTTGGGGAGCAGCCGCGTCCTCCATCGTCACATACAGTGAAAATAATGGGACATAAAATCAAATATGATCCCACTCTACTTAGTGTCTCCTCCTTCAGCTCCCTTCATCCACCTGTCTCCTCCTCA